AGTTTTAGTTATTGCATCACGCCAAGCTTTTGCTTGTGCTGCAACAGTACGACTATCACGAAGTTTCCATGACTTGTAGTTCAAATCTTCGAGGTCCGCATGTTTGAGAAGACACCAATTACAAAATTGTGTAGCGTTGAAGGCCATGTAACCTGCTACTTTCCGAATTGCTTGAAGATCTGCAATGAGTGGAACAAGCCGTGCTGCAACAAGAACACCAAGAGGGTTTTTGAAGGTAGGAAGAACTTTGCCAGGGGGAGCAAACTCGTTTATCATTCGAGCGAATGATATCATGATGTGTGCTATTGTCCAGACATCAGGCATGTCAGGTCCCGGTATCAAAGCAAGAACACAGATGTTTTCCACAAGGAATCTGACTTCAATGGGAAGACTCAGACAATAAAGAACTATTGCACCACAGGAAACAACGGGGCCTTAGAGACATTAGGAAAATCATAAATCTGCTATAATATTTGTCACATACCAGCAAGTTTATTTGTCAACGGATTGAACCAATCTATATAGAATCCAAAAACCAGATGATATCGAGATAGTACAAAGTTTCCAAGACTGCGCCAAGCTGGGCTGTCTTGAACATCTGTCATCCTTTCAAGAGGTGGCATATTCTGCCTCGTTTGGTCCTGCTGGAAAGTTTTCTCTAGCTGGTCTTCAACCTGGGACCTAGAGAGGAAAAACCGTAGCCAAGATTCGAAAGATTGGGTAGCATATAAGCATTCGGGAACTTTCTTGTCTGTCCCATTTCGGAGATGAACCTGTTTCCACAAAGGAGTACCACAAGCCCAAGATCTTGGTGACTTTCGCCAGTTACATATGTCTGGCATGTCATCCAGAGAGTAAGGTTTGTAGCAAGTTGGGCAGCATGGTGTACGAATAATTTCAGGCTCCAGTCCATCATGGTAAACAGTCCGAATATCCTGAGGAATCGCTAGTGTTGGAGAGGCAATTTTTGTCCCAGCAGATCGAAGTACCCCGAAGATGAGTTCAATTGTTGTAAAGATAATGAATCGCACTGCCTTGAGGAAAATCCCTGAATTCTCTCGGCTCATCCCCACATGGAGATTAAGCCATGCTGCCAACAGTGTGCACAGTGTCGCAACTGGGGCCAGAGCTATGGGATAATGAAATACCGAGCTTGTTACATTATATAATAGTCTTACCTTTCTGAAATACATCTAGTGTTGGTATAGAGGTTTGGTTGGTAGTTGGGGATGGCTGAGGTATAACAACTGGCGGAGGTTCATCCTGTATGCCAGCTTCTGTCTTTAGCCTATTCAGCTCTTCACGGTTCTCATGCTCCAGGCGTGTAGACTGGCTGATCATAGCTCCAGGCAGCCTTTGCCCATTCTCCACAACCTCCTTTTTGCTGCATATAGAGCAGACACAAAGGACTTTGGGTGGCATGAGAGAGGGAAGACAGAGGTGGGGGATCAATCAACAACTTCTAAACAAGCCACAGTCTTTATAACAGCGGTGATATATCTCAAAATCATGATTATCTTCCACAGAACTAGATGGTGGTGTCAGAAGTGATTCAGTGGCATTTATAGCGCCACGGTCAGCGTGTAGTCCACATCTGGTGATCAATTCCGCTGATGTACTAATTTCTGAGGACCGACTTGCCGACTTTCAGTGCGATGTCGAACATGTGTTATTGATTGACATATGTCATTAATTGACAGATTGTGTTACATCCGTGCATAATGCTAAGCATACATCCGATCTCCGGAACCTCCGGATTTTCCGTCCTCCGACTTGCGGAGCTTCATTGGAGATTTTGGAAACAATCAGTATGTCTTCTGCCACACTATCTATCCTCCATCCCAACCTCCGCCGACCTCCGAATTAACCTCCGAATTAACCTCCGACCATCCACACTATTCTCCGTCATTTTCCCGCCGACTTCATTCCGGCTATCACGCTCCTTTCCGCCAATCCCGTATCCTGCCATTCGGCAATTCCTCGTGGGCCAAAGCACACACGTGTTTTCGGTCCTAACCTCCGATGCTGGCTCATGCCCGCCTCATGCATCACCTTCTATGTTTTATGTCTTATGCATTCCTCTTCTTTTACTATTGTTCTTATTGTTCTCTTATTGTTCTTATTGTCTTGTACCGTACTTCCTTACCTTTATTGGGATTCTCCGTAATTACTATAAAGCATCCCTTGTAACTTTCTCTTTCTTCAGTTTGTAAATAAACGTTTCTTTCGTGCCTAATCCTCCGACCTCCGACTCTCTCTCCCTTCGGCAAACGCTAGGCCTCCAACTTAGCACTCCGGGAGTTCGCCCTAAAACCTCCGGACCTCCGCCACTTCTTGTCCAGTCCCGTCCGTGCCAAGAAGACCACACTTACCCTTAACCTACCTGTGGTAATAGTGTTTCCGATATTCCGTGTAAACATCCGGTACATCTGACGTTTGACTTCCGGCATAACCTCCGGACTTCCGAACCTCCGATTTCTCGTCCCCCCGGATCCCTCCTATTTCCCTTCCACCTCCGCTTTCCTCCCTACTCCCGGCACGGGATATAACAATGAACGACCTCTTTTCCCATCTCCTCGACGTCTATGTTGTTGTCTACCTCGACGATATACTTATCTACTCGGAGGATCCGGCGGAACACCGGAACCACGTTCGAGAAGTTCTTCGCCGGCTCCACTCGGCTGGACTTTTCGCCTCCTTGAAGAAATGTGACTTCAGCGTCGACACTGTGGAGTTTTTGGGCTACATTATTTCACCCGCAGGTCTTTCTATAGATAGCTCGAAGGTTAAGGTCATACAGGATTGGCCGGTTCCCCGGAAAATCAAGGACGTCCAGTCTTTCCTTGGTTTTGCCAACTTCTATCGGCGCTTTATCTCGGACTACTCGGATATTGTTATTCCGCCTACCCGCTTGACGCGGAAATCTGAGCCTTGGGTTTGGTCACCCAAGTGCCAGCAATCTTTTGACGCTCTTAAAAAAGTGTTCACATCGGCTCCGATCCTTTCCCACTGGGTTCCCGGTGCACAACTCATTCTTGAAACCGACGCTTCTGACTACGCCATTGCAGCCATTTTATCCCTTGTCTCGCCGGCCGATGGTGATATACATCCCATTGCGTTTCACTCCCGGACGCTTTCGGCCGCCGAACTCAACTATGATACTCACGACAAGGAACTGTTGGCAATATTCGAGGCTTTCCGCGTCTGGCGACGCTACCTCGAAGGCGCGGATCCGCCGGTTGACGTTGTCACCAACCACAAGAATTTGGAGTATTTCTCGACCACTAAGCTCCTGACTCGCCGGCAAGCCCGGTGGTCGGAACTTCTTTCCGCCTTTAACTTCGTCCTTCGGTTCCGCCCCGGCCGTCTCGGTGGCAAGCCCAACGCTCTCACTAGACGATGGGATGTCTACCCAAAAGAGGGGGATAGTGGCTACGCCAGTGCAAATCCGCATAATTTCCGTCCGGTATTCACTCAGCATCAGCTTAATGCATCACTCTGCGTTTCGTCCCTTTACATTCCAGTTCTCCGCGCGGCCGAGCTGATAGATATTGAGCAGTTGCATACCGACATCCGAGACGCACTTTCCTCCGATCCTATTGCTTCACTTCACCTTAATTCCGACTCGGACCCGCGCTGGACCACTCATGACGGTTTACTCTACCACGACAGTCGCATTTGGGTTCCAGATTCCGGTCTCCTCCGGGTCCGCGTACTCCGCGATAAACACGATCATCCGCTTTCCGGACACTGGGGTCAGAACAAGACTCTAGCCATGGTTCGTCAAGAATACGTTTGGCCCGGCCTCCGGGAATTCGTCAAGAAGTATGTGCGTTCATGCATTAATTGTCGTCGTAACAAGTACGTCCATCACCGGCCGTACGGACTCCTTCGACAGCTTCCTATTCCCGAGCGGCCGTGGAACTCGATTTCCATGGACTTCATCGAACAGTTGCCGGAGTCCGACGGATTTACCACTGTCCTCGTAGTCGTGGATCGCCTTTCAAAAATGGCTCTATTCATCCCCACCGTCAACGAAATCACTTCCTCTGGTCTAGCCAACCTATTCGTCCTTCACGTTTTCTCTAAACACGGAGTCCCTAGCCATGTCACTTGCAACCGCGGCTCCGAATTCGTATCCCACTTCTTCCGCTCACTGGGTGAAGCGCTCAATATGCGTCTCCATTACACCGCCGGATATCATCCTTCCGCCGACGGACAGACAGAGCGCGTTAACCAAACTCTGGAGCAATACATCCGGATGTACTGCAACTATCAGCAGGACAACTGGGCTTCGCTGCCACCTCTCGGTGAATTCGCCTATAACAATACGCCTAATGCCACTACGGGCGTCTCTCCATTCTTCGCCAACAAGGGTTACCACCCGTCCATTTCCGTTCATCCCGAGCGCGACCTCGTCTCCGCCCGGGCCCGCGAGTTTGTTACCGATCTCGATGCTCTCCACCAAGAGCTACGGAAACAAATGGCCGCCGCTCAGGCTCGTTATCAGGGCCCGGCGGATGCGCGGAGAACACCGGACCCGAAGATCAACATAGGTGATCAAGTTTTTATTGCCGAAGACGCGTTTAAGTTCGCAAAGCGGTGGCCGACCAAGAAGTTTTCCGAAACATTCTATGGTCCTTACGAAGTCATCGCCCAGCCCGGACCCGCATCCTTTACCGTTCGCCTTCCCCGCGACATGCGCCAGATTCACCCAGTCTTTCATATTTCTCAATTACAGGTTGGAGAACCTAACACTATTCCCGGCTGCGTTCAGCCGCCGCCTCCACCTGTCACTGTCGATGGCGAGCTCGAGTATGAGATCGCTGAGATACTATCCAGCAAGCTTGACCGGCGGCGGAAGCCGCCTTTGCTCTATCTTGTTCGCTGGCTCGGGTACGCCGGAACCGACGAGGAAACTCAATGGCTCCGTGCGGACGAGCTCAAACATGCAGACGAGCTTGTTTCGGATTTTCACGCCAAGTATCTGTTGGAGAAAATGGCTGAACCCGGAATCGAACCGGGGACCTCTAGGTAATTGTGCTACCAGTGCTCTTACCAACTGAGCTATTCTGCCTATAGTGTGAAAGGAACAAATCCATACTTCAACACTCCCCCGGGACCTGAGCACTATTGGCTCTGGGAACTCACAAAGGGGGGCACCATTTTCCCTCAGGTGACCTCAGGCTGCGCTGGCCTCTTTCATCCAGTCGACTTACAACCTGACAGTTGCTGCTACCATGTTGGAGAAAATGGCTGAACCCGGAATCGAACCGGGGACCTCTAGGTAATTGCGCTACCAGTGCTCTTACCAACTGAGCTATTCTGCCTATAGTGTGAAAGGAACAAATCCATACTTCAACAGTATCCACATCTTCCTGGCCCACTTTAACATTTCGGCAGCCGCGTGGGCCGCCAGAGGGGTTTTTTACGCAATGAAGGTCTTCTGAGCGTTTTCTCTTCTTACTTATTATTCTTTCTTCTTTCTTATCACTCATCATAAAAGCACCAAGAAAATTTATATATATAGGGGTCTCGGCCCCGGATTGTGTCCGTATGTACATTACTTTTTTTTCTGTCCCCGGCCGCGCCTCCAACACACTACGCATTGTCCCCCTCGACCGGCTCCTCTTCACCCGAATCCGGCTCCAACTCCGTCTTCTCGTTGTCTGCCGGGGCCGGGCGCGCGCCACCACCCTCCTCCTCTTGTTCATCCTTGTCGACGTATGGGAGGAGGTCCTCCGTGACGTACGCGCACTGGCGGAGACTCCGGGGCCGGCGAGACCGCAGGTGTGGGCGGCGCACTCGAAACGGCTGCGGCCGCGACCGGAGCCGTCGTCTGCACTCCCTCCTCCATCTGCGGGGCCCGGCCGTGCCGCTCGTTCCTCACCTTCTCTACCACCATCCGCATCGCCTGCCCCACCATCGCCATTCCCTCCGCCATCATCCGCATCGAGTCGTTGAAGATGCGGATCTCTGTCATTTGCGCGGCGAAGTCCACATCGCGGCGGGCGGCGGATCCCTGCATGCCATCCACCATGTGCATGAGGGAGACAGCGATGGAGCTCAACTCGTGCGCTCCCGCAGCGGGCGCACGGGCCCGGCCGCCCTGCGACCGCGCAGCGAAGTCGCACTGCCGCTTGCCCACGCGGCAGGGCTCGCAGGCCTTCTGGCGGACGTTGCCAGCCACGCAGACGCACACCTCGTTGTGCTCGACGCATTTGGAGCACTAAAAATACTATTGTTAGCAGAATTGAGTGGCGGACGTGCCACTTACCGGTGCATCGCCGTCGTCTTCCTCCTCCGGCTCCGGCTCTGCCACAGCCCTCGCCCTCTTCTTCGCGCGCGGGTTCTCCTCCCCCTCCGCACCACGCTTCCCGGAGCCGCTCGGGCCCGCACCGTCCCTCTTCTTTGCCTCCTCCGCGGCCGCTCGCTCCTTCGCCACCTTCTTCTTCCGCTCCTCCTCCTTGCGGCGTTTCTCCTCCGCAGCTGCCTTCTGCCTCCGCTCCTCCTCCTCCCTCTTCTTCCGCTCGCTCCGCTCCCGGCGGGCACGCTGCATGTCCGCCTCCCACACCGCGTCCCACTCTGCGTAGTCGGCGTCGTTGAGCTTGTCGACGGCGTCGGTATCGAGGGCGAGGAGGCGCTTGTGGTAGTCGGCCGTGGATTCGTTGGGGAGTTTGGGCATTTTTTCGGAGATGGTGGTGGTACGAGAACAAGAGAGATTTAGCCGAGCGGAGTGTTAAAAACCGCTTTTATTTGGGTCGACTTCTTTTGATCCGCAATCCTAACTCCATATCTAATCTTAGGGCCTCAAGGTTCGGCCCTAAGAGGGGGATACTGTCAGGTCCCGTACCGGGACCAGCCGGACCCGGGTTGCAATTCCACCAGCCGACTTATCCCGCAGATCCAGCTCTCTAATCTTTGTCATTCTATTGGATCTTATTGTTAAAGGTCGTCCTTATTGTTCTTACATCTTCTCCATCTCCGGATGACTCACAACCCTTATTGTCTTTATTGTACTTCCCGGATCATTCTCGGATTTTGACTTTAGTATAAATATATAGTATTGTATAGTAGTAGCCTCAGTTCGAATATCGACTTAGTTGGTTCCCTATTGCCTTCTCCCTCTAGTCTTTGTCTCTTCAGAAATCGGGCCTCGGGCGTATTGACGGGCGCAGCGCACGAGCTGAAGCCAAGCCCGCATCCAGTCGGAACCCGTCTCGGCCGCCGGACCCGGTGGATCCGGAACACCGCACTTGACAGAATTATGTACTTTGATATTTATTGGCCGTTATTTCTTTTTTTAAGACTCCATGTATATAAATGACTTATTGTACTATACCTTGTACTCAGAGTTCAATACGATTCAGGCATCATTTGGTGAATGATGCTTGATCTCATATTTCCACGGTTTACTTCTTGAACAAAGTTCGCAACTGCCGAGGCTATATTCAGCCTCGGGGTGTCCGAAGCTATGTTTGAGGCTGTGGAACTGCATAGTGAGTCACTAGGTTATGACTCGCTTCGATAGTATATAAGAGAGTCTCCGCCTCTTGTCGGGACAACTAACTTTACTTGCAATACATCCCCTGAACCAAACACTTCTGTGTGAACCTGAGTTGAGCTACTATGCTCAATATTACCCTCTGTACCTACTGTAGTTTTGCTAGACTCTACCGTATCTCTAGAACCCTCTGATAACAGTAATTTTGCTAGACTTTACTATGTATTAGAGATTTAATCTATTCTACTACCAAAATGCTAGCCTTGTAGTAAATAGATCTATGAATACTAGAACTCCTTGAAGCTATCAAGAAGTTCAGCACATCTCGGTTGACTGGTTATATAAGGGTTCTCAAACTCAAGTATTTTCATTCTCTAGTATTACATTTGTGCAATACTGACTTGCTTACTCATACACGTGTTACGTTCTCTGCTAGTAACCTGCGTATTTCCCGTTTCGCTTACATAGTCTGTCCTCTTCACATCTGGTTCTACATCGGCCATTGATAGCGACAAATCAGAGTTGAATTTCTCCTCCAGTTGTGTCTCTGTCAGCACAGTTCCTAGGTCTTCCAACCTGGAAATTGCTGATCATAGAGGTTTTTGGGGCTTAGGACTTTTCAGGCTCGACACTACGTTTTCTCCAGTCTTAGGACCACTTCTAGTCTGGTATCCTTCCATTACTCTGGATTCTCAAGTGCCTTCTCAGCCGCGACTTGCGTCTCTGCAGTCTCCATGCGCTTCTGGAGGTATCAACACCGAGGCTGACAAAGATTTTTCCTATCGCAATGAACATCCTTCTGCTTTCCCTTCCAAATTCCAGCCACCTCTTTTCTTTGACAGGTCAGATCTGTCTAAGCTTTCACCCTTCCTCATCCAGTGCTACTCGCACTTGGCGGAATTTCTGTTGGACTTCCGAGCAAATGAGTCAATGACAACAAGATTGCTTCCATCCGGTCATTCCTCCGTGGTGAAGCAGCTCGGATGTTCGACACCTCTGATGATTCTAGGGTGCTGCAGCATCTGGCCTGGAGAGGGGAGCTTTCTGTCTTTGTAGTGGAACTTCATGACATTTTAGGTCGTTTCGACTGGGTTGGTCATGTGGAGGATGGTCTTCGAATGCTTTAGATGAAGACTTCTGATCACATTGGTCCTTTCCTTGTTCGTTTCGATGAACTCACTGTTGGACACAGAATCTCAGATGGGGGCTGAAAAGGCACTCAGATGCACAGATGGGAGGTGAAAAGCCAGGATTTGATGTGACACAGCAAATATGTACTACATGTGACGTGTGACTTTGACTACCTCGTCCGAACCAAACAACCAACTTCAACACTCACCTCAAGACTTGATTGGGGTGGTTCTGTGCTCTGTCATGCCCTCTTCTCCACTCTTTCGCTCCGCATCACTTCGGAGTTATTGGAGCCAGATATCTATCCCAGCACCATGGATAGACTTCAGGCCGCTATCCAGTGCCCACCAGAACGTGTGGTCACATGACAAGACAAGATTGCATCTACCTCATCCATCACTTCCTTGCCTGCGTGAGGAAATTGTGAGGGGACGTTGGAACTAGTACGAGCTGGATAATACTTAGTTAGGGGGTGTCGTGTTACATTGATGCAATATGTGATGTTGCATGATGTGACACAAGAGATAAGATCAGATCAGATGTAGCTGTTAGAACCAGCGGCGGGGGTGACACCCGCACAGTAGGGACGACTAAGGTGCGTCTGAACCGTGTTATGAATAAACCGTTGTATTCGAGGTCTTTGCTCGATAGGGATTAAGCCTATCGAGCGAAACTACTTATACAAGATGTCCGGGCCGTTTACGTAGTCTACCATGCGTAATCGGGTAGCTATCCGAGACACCTGATACTACTAAAGGAGAAACTACGGACGGACTAATAGAACATGTGTCACGGTACAATAATATCCGTATTGGTAATGGTCCGAAGTAATCGCGTAAGGGAAATTAAACTAAATGCCGAGTCCAACTCCAATATCCAACAGTAGCTATCTAAGCCTCTAGGTTGATTGACTATCAGGCTTCGGGGTGGGCATCTTGAGCGACTGTCGACCGTGCTGAGTAGACGACGGGGATCACAGTGAGGTAAAGTGAGACAGCTGACCACCAAACAGTTCCTGAACTGGGGGACTCGCGTCCACGATTTCTGTGTCAGCATCTTCGATGCTGCTCCACTAATCATGGGAGGAGGTGAGACTAATTGCAGAACTGAACCAGGGTTCCAGCAAGATCAGGGACAACAATAATTAATAATGGCCTGCGAATAAATCGAGACAAACATGAGAGGATCTAGGTCTTCAACAACAGGAGCCGATGCGTTCTTGAAACAGATAGAGAAGCCAGTCAACAAAGATGTTTCAATGAGGATCGATCGAATGGGGTGCTGAAGAGAGCTCCACCGCCACATTCTTTTGCGACACGATGGCGGGCATGCTGCAAGCTGGTATAGACACTTGGAACACCCGTCACACAGTCCTCGAAGCCATGGAAGTATCAGAGGTCAGCGTAGGCTAGCGTCCTCGCGCGGAGTATGTTGACGCACCT